AAATGACTTAGGATCAAACCACTGATGTCTGCTGATTAAGTCCTGTTATTATCTGCAGAAGTTAGGTTTTGTCACTCTAAGTTTCTTTAAACATTCTCTTCTTTTCTGAAGTTGACTTGATGTTAATTGTTTGAAAAATACAAGTATTTTCTTCTATGATAAGACATTAGGCAAACTTAGTTGAGAAAGTACAGTAAAGGAAGGGAAAATATTCCAATGGTCCTCAAATGTAACTCAAATCTTTATTTATTGAATATTACTGTGAAATCTTTTCATATTCAAACAATGTAGATAAGTAAAAGAACTTATTATTTAACAACAAAGCAACTATGTATATTACATTTAAATAGATCTATACCAAGAATAATAGCATAAAATAGTTAGCTAGCCTGACCTGGTGCCATTGTGACTCTGATAAATCTTTATCAGGTTTCACAATGTTTTAAACAACTTACATATGGAAGTGGTGACTACTGTAGTTAAAAAAATATGATGACAAAAGAAATATGTTAAATAATACAGATCATGTTCAAACTGATTGTATATACAAAACGAAACTTTCCGATCAAAAATAAAGAAAACTAAAATTGTATCATGAAACAAAGTATTTGGTTTTCTTCAAAAACGGTGCTTTCATCAAAACTTGGGAAATTTTATGATGTAAAAAATGATAGAAAAAGTACATCAAATGATACGATAAATTTCAAGGGAAAACTATATACTATTTGGGAATTTTTATTAAAATAAAGGCCCGTATCAATACCCCCATTGGTTGGGAATGGGAATTATTAATATCACAAAATATTGTTACAAAAGGAAAAAAAGCTGAAGAATTTATTGCGTTGTGTTCTTTATGAAATACCTTGAATTTTTGTTGTTCTTACCTGTTCACGTTTTTAATTTTCTCTTAATGTTTATCTATCATCCTTTACATTTTTCACAAAAACGTTTGTTACAACAACAATTTTCTGTCCTTTACTTGCCAAAGAAGCAATATACACAATTCTTGTATCTGAAGACAAACTGTAGGTTTATTGAGAGATAATTAAATTTGTTCAACAGAAACTGACTGAAGAATTATTTCTCCAAATGTGTATACAAAAAAAAATTATTTTGTACGTTGAATACAGAAAGTTTAGTAAGCTATATTAAACAATTTGAATATGCAAATCAACAAGTTTAATGACAACCATAGCTGATAAAAAGTCACAGTGGTGTAACATGTATCAAAAACTGATCACTAATGGGAGGGTAATGAAAAATTAATTTCTAAAGAAACATATTCATACACTCAGATCATAAAGAATGGGGATTCTGAATTCCCAAAACAGATATCCTTGGAATACGGATAACTTGGGGCACTACGACTGTCCAGAAAGAGGCCTGCAACAAATCAGGCCACAGTCATGGTAAGAAAAGTGTGGTCTTATAAAAGGGAAGAATACACAAACACAAAAGTCAGTAGTAAAAGCCATCTAAGGGGCCCAAGGAACAGCTTGTGACATAATCGAGAAGGATCACTGTCTGAAAATGGGACACAAGTCATATATACATATACACAAGTTAATTCTACAACATACAAGTTCAACCATTGCATACCTCAAGCAGCTTAGAATTAAACAGGAATTTGTGATCTTTCATGTGCACATGTATGGTCAAGTCACTGCACTGAGTGGCCATCAATTTCTGTGTGATTTAACTTTTGAATTGTCATATCAGAACACTAGATAGAATATAGAAAGCATGCAAGAAGCAGTGCTGTGCTTTGACCTTGACAATCTTACAATGAAAATTACAATCCATGGTATTGTCAAGATGCACAATTGTCAGATGAATCATGACAGGACATGATGACATGGACTGTAACAATGTTATAAGGCTCCACATTGTTTTTCATATAATGTACTCAACCTCTGGATTCTGGACATTTATTTCTTGCGTTTCATTTTAAAAAAAATATGAAGTTGATAGAAAATCATGTAGACAGTATATTATTCCCACACAGTTGATTATAAACATAATCGTTACTGTACATTTTTTCCATAATGAAGTAACTATTACACTACTTTATGAACACATAAAAAACAACGTGAAATATAAGTTTATCTTCTCTGACATATATAATAAAAAAATATATGTTTTTACTTGACTCGTAGGAGTACTCATATAAGACCATTCAAAATAATGATTCAGCTCCTAAAACATGCAAACAAAAAAACCTGCAACTTATAAAGAAGTAGAATATATCCATGCCTGAACAATTTTAATATAATTAAATCTTATCCTAAACAAAATATTTACTGCAGAGTTATCATTATGCAGTTCTACATGATTTAATGTATTTCTATAGTACTTTATATTTGTGTCAAGCTGTATGCTGCCATTTTGAACTACTGTCCCGAGTGAAAGCAGCTTGTCAGCAGAACCCTATCACTCACAAAGGGATTGACTGTCACTCTTATAATTCACCTACAGCTTTAAAAGTGCAGAGAGTATTTTGCCTGCTCTGAAATTTAGAGGCAAACACATGTCCTTAAGGGATTAAAACACCTCTTTAATGTAGGAAAAATTGCATTTTCCTAAAAATATAAAGGGAACTTAAATTCTTTTATGAATTTTTTTTTTATAAAGAAACAGTCCTTATAAATGCAAGGTTCTTACTTGAAGAAGGAACCAGAGTATATTTCAAAATTTCTGAAAAGTTTTCTACTTCTCTCAAGCAATCCTACACCAAAATGTTTTAACTTCTTCAACAAAGATTCCTCATTGGTCAAACAGAAAGAGATAAAATGTGAACTAGCTTTTAAACTGTTTAAACAGAGGTCAAAGGGACATTCTTAAGTTTTCTGAAAAACTAGTTATAAAGTTTTAAAGCAAGCTGAAATGTAATTCATGAAATAAATTGATATATCACTAACAGCAGTAAGACAAAAAAGTAGCATGCATGAACAACATAGAAACTAAACGAGATGACATAGAAATAAAATAGCAGCCAAATTGTAGGAATTATCATGTACATAGAAAAGAGGAGATAATAGTTTATAAATAGAATATGGAACAAAGTATTTACTCAATAAACCCTACAATAATGAAGATTACATACGAAAGGATTTATAAATCAAATTAACTGCCCAAACTATGAATCTACATGCAGTTGTGAAACTGGTAGAAATCTAATAACAAGATTTAATGAACCCTTAAAGCGATCATCACATGCAAATAAGTACATAAAAAACTTTAATGAGAAATCACAAAAACATAAGTATATAAAGTAAAGAACAAGATATACAAAAAATAAAAGTTAAAGAAGTATCATTATTAATAAAAATACACAAACCTTAAAAAGGATGCCCCCTTTATTGAACACTCTCTATCACAGGTGTCTTTTGTTTAAATAAATTAAATGTCCATTCTACTCTCCTTTTAACAACTGGTGAAAGAAGATACCTTGGTATAAGATTTCTTTTTGTTCGGCCAATAGAAGCTGGATTTTTTTCAGAAGTTTTAACATAAGACTAACTTGTAAAATACGAAATCTTGCTGTAATGTTTACCTTGCATTTGCATTCAGAAGGACCTTCCCTGTCACAACCTGGCCTCTCTGTACGATTAATGGAGAATCTACTAAACATCGTACCTGGTACCAGTGTGTTAGAGGTTGGGTTGGTGACGTAGATAACCATACTGTTTGTCTGGAAAATAAAGTTAGTATTAACAAGTAGATATCAATTAAAAACATTATAAGCTTTCCTATTTGATAATATTCATAAAACAAAACTTAGAAAATTATATCAACCTTCATTGAGCTCATAACTACACCAGCAGTTTGGATTATAAATTTTCTGTGGGATTTTTTACCATAATAATAAAGCACAAGACTATCGTTTGCTTGTTTGTTCTTCAGTGCAAAGCCACACAATTGGTCATCATTTGTGCCCCACCCACTGTGGGCATCAAAACCTAATTTCTAGCATGAAAGCCCTTACGTGTACTGCTGAATTGGTGGTGAGGAGGGTACAGGATGAAAAAAAATCATATCACTCAGGAAAAAAATTAAAGCATATACGGGTCACACATTTAAAGTCACTTAAAAACAATTTGGGTCACACATTTAAAGTCACTTAAAAACAATTTTATATGGAAGGTTTTGATTGGCTCATTTTGTAGATTTTTAGTTAACACTCCTACGAAAATATCATATTTCTTTTTGCACTTGGGAACACTGCACTTGTCTTTTTTTTATGGATTTTATAAATAAATAAAGAATAAACTCATACATAAAAATTGAAAATATTTAAACTAATTTTTTAACTTAAAACAATCAATATGATATACTTTTATTAACTTTTTTTGCTGAATTTTAATGTCAAAAATATATTGTTTCTTAGAGTCTTGAAGGAACTTTTGAAGGATTTTATTTGTGAACTGCTAGCTAATATTTTTTATATGTTATTGAGTAGTGGAAGAGTATTAGAAGATTGGAAGTTGGCTAATGTTAGTCCAATATATAAAGGAGGTGTTAAACATTGTCCAGA